CGTGAGGCGGCTGGTCACGGCGGGCGGCCCGAAACACCTCGGTCGTTTCTGAGGGGCTCCCCGCGGGCCAGTAGAGCGTGTGGGAATCCCAGCTGCCCCGGGCAGGCTGCGGAGAATCGGGACTCTCGGACAAGGGACAGGCCCCAGCCAGGCCTCTCCTCGGCCTCCAGAGCAGTCAGTTTGGTTACCTGCGTAGGCTGTCGTGGATAGATAGCACTGCACCAGGTTTGTGGCTGAGTGCAGTTAGGGCAGGCAAACCGCCAAGTGGTTTTCTTGTCATCTGAGGTTTTCCCTGGTTTTGAAAATTTAGTGATACCAACCCCAATAGTCAGGTAATTTTTCAGCCAGTTCTCTCAAAATACTAGGATGCAGCCTATGTGGCCAAACTGGATATTGAGGTGCCAAACTTTGATAGATGCTTTTAACATCGTACTTCACTACTGGACAGAAAAAGAGTTTCATTAGTAGTAACATCAATAAATCAACCAGCAATCTGGAATGGAGAGCAGAAACATTTATTGATCACGTACACCTTTTTATCATTATTGACAGTTTTACTGTCTCCTTCAAGAAATGGCCCTCTACAATTACCAGTGTTGCTTTTATTCATTACAAGTATATGAACATTTACATCATACCTGTCTTCTGTATAAATTGCCTGGCATTCTTCATGTCTGATTCCTCAAGTTATTCCAGTATGTTGCATTGTTTCATGGTGATGCTAATACAGCACAATAGTAGCTTAAACCACATGTAGATGCTGTGAATAAGGGGACTGTAATCTTGCTCTTTAGTGGTTTTCTGTGATGCTTCCATCATCTTTTGTAGTATCTTCATTTGCTTATAAGGACAGCCACATCACTTTAGCACTAAGGGAATGCAATACTTTGAACATTAACAAAGCTTTCTGAAACCGTTCTGAATTTCCATTCACACTTCTATTTTCTGCCAGTCAGTTTTACGTTGGGATAGCAAAGGGAGTAAATTGAGCGGGAAAGATGAACACTAATGTCCATACTACTGTTCATGGGGATGATAGCAAGCAACCTTTGTTTGCTGGCTTCACAGGGGGCTTTTTGCATTGCTTTTGGTGATATTGTCCACTGTAAACCAGCACAGGTAGTATAAATAAATAAAAAAAAATAAGAAAAAGGCAGCAATACCTGTAAGACAGCACTAAGTGCTTATGTTTGCTCTCGTTTTAAAAAATTCTGAAACACATTCCCCACTTTTATTTCTCCCCTAGTGGAAGTCGTAACATTCACGTCACTCACTGCAATTTGCACGCTACAATTTGCAACGAGGGACTATCGTTGCATATCACTCCGCTCTCTCGCTGGTTTGTCATGTATCATCAATACAAGAGGAAGGTCTCTCTGCTTGCACAAGCAATACCAAGGCTTGCCAGGAGGTGTTGCTTTGAAACCACACAAATATCGGAGCTTAAAAATCATGAAAGAGGCTTGGACTATTAAAAATAACCGACAGATTCTTTGTTCTGGTGGGGAGAACTCAAGATCCTCCATTTGAAACGGTAATTTTTTGTTTAAGACAATTTAAATCTGAAATGCATAGAGTAGTAAAGAGAGAAATAAATGCTCAACAGGGGACCCACTTGATGGGAAATACTGTGGGTTTGTACATTGCTAACAAATATGTTACAGCAGCTTTATGTGTGCAAAACTGTCAAGTTTTGTCAATCTTGTCTTTGCAGATCTGAATGTTAAAAAAAAATAAATATATATATATGTATAGATATTTTACATACCTGATGCAGTGGGGATTTTTAGAGGGGTAACCTCGTCTCAAGAAGCCAAGGAGCAGAGTAAAGCCTCAGTAAGACAAATAGTTGTCCTGCTCAGAGAGCTGTGTCGCTGTGCTCTCCACAGCTGCACACATGCATTTTAAAAGAAAATGAGTTGTTTCTTTCTAAGGGGGAGTGCAATGTTGGATGTGCAACTGTTCTCCAACTATAGCCCTGTTTTTAAGTACATATTAACAGTGACAAATGTAATTATGCATTTAATTATGCCCAGCCTTGGTCTAGAAAACAGAACAGGAGGCAAAGTTTCCAAGACATTTAAAACCTTTTTTGCTAAAGGAAAAAATGCCTCTAAGGATACCCAGCAAGGAGGAAAAGTTTTTAAATATGGCTTTATCACATCAAGCTCAAACAACCTCCATTGCTAAAACAAGCTAAGGCTCTTCAGCAGCAATTTAAACTCTGGAATAGGACGATAACTTCACAGCCCACAATATGCCTTGGTGTGTAGATGTAGTTACCACACTTACTCCAGCTGTGCCTTTCAAAGAGCTATACATACCAGCCCTGAGGCGATGAACTCCAGCTCACTGAGGCTCTGGAAGGCTGGTTTTGGAGACAGTTTAGAAAAGGACCTCACAGTTAGCAGAGGAGGTCACCTAAGGGTGTGTATAAACAAAGGAGCCTTTGAAAATTATTTTATGATCAGACATTTACTAATATTGTTTTTTACCACAGATGAAGGTATTAGCCAGGATCAAAGAACACTGTACCAGACAAACAATTATAAAGTTGAAGAGTTCAACAGCTCTTTTTACACCAAATAATTTTTTTAAAGCCAAAAAAATTTTGAAAAAGGTGTAGCTGTAAAAGAGAAAGCAGAAAACAGTTGGTGAATTTAGCTGGCCCTCTGAACTGTCGTTTCAACAGCAGGGTGTAATTCGGGACTGATGTTTAGACCAGCTGCTGTCAAGAACAAATAAGTTTTCAGAGCTCCTACCCCTCTCAGCACTGTGACCACAGGATTTACCACAAAAAACTCAGATCAGATTGTACAAGACAACTAGTCAAACCTTCCATATTCCTCAGAGGTCGTTGCAGCAGAAATACTCTACTCCTACAGCTGGAACATCACTGCAGACCCTCCTTTTCAAACACCTCTGGGGTCAGAAACAGACTTGTGCAACTAGTCAAATAATCATTTTCCAGGAATTTTTGTTCTGTGTGAATATGTTTATAGCAAATTAAGCTGCCTCTGCTGAAATACCTTGCATCAATGATTGTCGTGGTTTAACCCCAGACAGCAACTAAGCACCATGCAGCTGCTCACTCACTTTCCCCCCCACGCAGTGGGATGGGGGAGAAAATCGGAAAAAGAAGTAAAACTCGTGGGTTGAGATAAGAAAGGTTTAATAGAACAGAAAAGAAGAAACTAATAATGATAATGATAACACTAATAAAATCACAACAGTAATAATAAAAGGATTGGAATGTACAAATGATGCACAATGCAATTGCCCACCACCCACCAATCGACGCCCAGTTAGTCCCCAAGCGGAGATCCTCCCACCTCCACTCCCCCCAGTTTCTATACTAGATGTGACGTCACATGGTATGGAATACCCCTTTGGCTAGTTTGGGTCAGCTGCCCTGGCTGTGTCCCCTCCCAACTTCTTGTGCCCCTCCAGCCTTCTTGCTGGCTGGGCATCAGAAGCTGAAAAATCCTTGACTTCAGACTAAACATTACTTAGCAACAACTGAAAACATCAGTGTTATCAACATTCTTCTCATACCTAACTCAAAAATGTAGCACTGTACCAGCTACTAGGAAGACAATTAACTCTATCCCAGCTGAAACCAAGACAATGATATACTGGAATAAAAATTAACCCAAGTCTCCTATAAATAAAGCACTTGTTTGTATCATTCAGCACTTCCTGAACAAGGCTGGTGATCCCAGGAGGTTGTAGAAGACTTGACAGACTCATGTTGTTCCAGCTCAGGAAGAAGCAGGATTCTTTTTCTTTTACCACACCACATTCTGAGTGGTTTGGAAGACAAAGCACAACATTCACATTCATTGAAATCTGTCCTTGGTGAATATCCCTCCTTACCATTTCTAGTAATGGAGTCTCTAAGGATTTGATATTCCTGTTTTGAGAAGCCTTTTCTTTCTCTAGAACTGGAATGGGCACCCAGGTATGTTTTCTGAGCATTATCCTCCACTACGTAGTCAAAAGACCAGTAATCAAAGGGATGACAAAACTTAACAACCACAGAGGAATGTCCACAATCTACTTCACTGCCTGCCTTGTCCTGTTGAAAGAAAGCCTTTCATTACTACTCCAACTTTCTTATGCAAAGTTAAGCCTCTACCATAATCATAGTTTACTTCTGAAATGGCATTGGCTGCCACAGACAAGTAAGAGTAGAGCTGTCCCCTAGCAGAGGATGAAGACATGAGCAATTTTAGATATGCAATTTTAGCTGTATTTCTCTTTGTATAGCAAGATATCTTTCCTTTTGGCAGGCCTTAGGGCTAGAGAAAGCTGCCACCATGTCTTGTGGCTTCATAGTCAACAGCTGTTTTTCATCAAAGTATAAACTGCCAGACAGTCTGCAGGGAAAAGCCCTGCTCCTCACGGAACAGCCTTAGAAAGAGAAGTGCTGGAGATCCGTACAAGCTTTTGGTGAGTTACTCAAAAGCTTACGGAAGGAAACTTGACCATCTTGATTACATTTTGTCAAGGTTAAGTGCACCAACAGGCTCTGCAACCTCGATCCCCACCCATGGCTACCTGTGCTGAAGATCAGCTCTGATATAGCAGAGCTGCATTGCCTCGGATCAGACTGCTGTGAGAACGGAAAAAACAGCAAGAAGCCTAATCTGGGGCCCGCGCCCATGCACTCTTCCTCCATTGGTCTGGGAGTTGCATTTAAGCTCAGATCCTTGTGCTCGGTCCTTATACAACTCAGCACAGAACAAAGCTCTGAAGACTTTAATTTCTTCTGCTGTGTACACTTAAATGCACTTCCTCTTCTCACTACCAAACTC